TCGAGAGGAACGGAATTAATTTAAAGGGACGAAATTAATTTTAGAATTTAGACTTGGACTTAAGCATCTTTCGGATCTGCGGCCGAGTTGCGTGCGCGCTCGCGGACGGGCGAATTATTTAATTTCGCGTAAAGGATTAAGTTCTCTATTCAGAGCAAATAAATGTTGATGCATATAAAAGATGCCGCAGACTGAAGTACTATTTGATCGTATTGCCCCGGCTCGTTAGTCAATGAATGTGTCGTTCGCGTTGTTCGTGAATGATAAGTTGTCCTATTTCGAAGTTCATTGCGCGTAGATAAGTCTGTCGATATTTCACGTGACAAATTTCCATTCTCGTTTCTTCAGATCTTGAGATTGAGCAGAAAGAAAAATAGAGAGAGAAATCCGATTTTTATTTTTATTTTATCAAACTAATTCTTACTCACGCGCTTCATCGAAAAAAGTTTCGCAGAGTGATATATATTTGTCAATACTTTTACGTTGCTTTGTATTATACAAAGCTGCAAGATTATTTAAGATTAAAAACTTGAAAAACATTTTTCATTGGTGAATTATTATCATCGTAATTGATGATGCGTTATTTATCTCATAAGTTTATGTTCCACGTCGAAGATTTATGGCTGACAGGTATAAATAACGAATTCTTCTTCATCACGAAATTATGAATAAGCGATTCGTTTCTGAAGTCTAAAGTTTTAAATAGTATTCATAATTTAAATGTATAATTCGTGAAGCGAAATATAGAAAAAAAACTCTATTTATGATGTCATGATTGTGTAAATTTTACCTTGAATATGTAATTATGTATAATGTCATTTCAAAACAATATATTATAGATCTAAAAATCTTACGTACGTTTTTATGCATAATGTTTTAACCATGTGCATTGTATGTAAATTAGATATATTCTTTTTACAAAATTATTATACTTGTACATTTCGATTCTTCGATTGTTTTTCGAATTGTACGTCATATAAAATTAAAATAGAGTATTGTTTTGAATATGGAATTATACAGACTGTCTACTTGACTGTCTACTATGACTTGAATATGGAATTATACAGACTGTCTGCTTGAAAACATTTATAAAAAAATTAGAATACAACGCATTAATTATTTAATTTTTAATACAATTTTATTATATAATTTAATATATATTTATATGTATTTAAAAATTATATATATATTTTTTTTAATATATACATTAAATTTTACTTGTAAACTATATCTTAATTCAAATAATAAAATTCTCTGAGCCGAATGATATAGTTCAAAGCGAAATTTGCACACAAATGCCATTTAAATATGACGCGTTCGAAACTGTTTAGCTTCTTCTCTGAGAACGTATGTATGTATTTGATGAGGGTTTGACACGTGACTATTCGGTGCACGCATAGTTCACTGAACGTAATCGTAGAGATCGTAGAGACGTAAAGACGAGATCGTAAAGACGCTTAACGTCGCGTCGATTTCTGCTTCCAAGCGTCCAAACGATATTTAAATAACGAGAAAGAGATAAAAGCGCGTTCGCAGTTGCACGCATGCGTACAGGCATGCACACATGCGATGATACAGCATTTGATTACCGCGATTTTATTATTTGGATATACATGACTCATAAATGTTCCATGCAATCCACGATTCCCGAATTCGCATTCGGTTAAAGACGACGCGCCACGGGAGACGTCACGATCCAGGCCGCGTTCCGCGTGCATTAATTCATCATTGAATGATATCTCATTACGAAATTACGCGTTGCGTAACGCGTGCTGGAGCGCTTGAAGTTTTCCTTTCACGATCAAATTCGGATCGGCGATCGATCGACCGATCGAGTCTCTCTCTCTCTCTCTCTTTCCGCCTCTCGGCTCTCTTTCCGTCTCTCTCGTGACGAATCGATCCTCTTCGGACCGGGCGCGATCTCGACATTCCTCCTCAACTACTATTTTTCTTCTTCTTCTTTCTTTTTT